TCCCCACATGTATCATGGATGTGAGTGGTTTTGAGTGTGTTTCCCTGTGACTTTTCTGTTATTGAATACAATGTGTGGAGTAGGAAAAACAAAAACAGTGGGGGGGAGGGGTTACCTCTAGTGACTGATACTCAGACGATGATGTTTAGCATCTTCAAACTTCGCGTGGAGACGCTGAACACCTCCCACAGATATCACTGACTCAATGAATCTCTATAAAGAGATACTGATTGGTGCAGATCTGTGATTGCCGCACATGTGACTGACTTCCCAATCCTTCACCATGGGGAGGCATTAGATTGGTTGAGATCTTCAGGACTAATGATTTCAGCCAACAGAAGCAGGACAATCAGGCGGACACTCCGGGGGCATAAGTGATTAAATCTTTTTTAAATTTTTGTATTAAGGGGAGAAGCAGTATTAAAAATGATAACATTATAGCATTAGGTATAAATGTCTATATTCCTAGTGCTATAGTGTTCCTTTATTGCTACCTTTCCTCATGTTCACATCAATTTACCGTTTCCCATTTTTTTTCAACAGCTGACATGCTCTCATGTTCCTATACATTCTTTTTTCTCCCTCTCCATTGGCTGAATTCCAACCTATTTCCTGTAACCTTCCTTTCATGTGAACCACACCCTCCATACAAACACAGCGTCCCAGTGTACTGTGCTCTGTTTAAAGAGAAGAACGTAATGTTTCATATGCATATTGTGGTGTTCCACAAACTTGCAGTTTGTCCAGAACTGTGACAGGCCAGCTAATGTTTGTTGACATAGATATCCTACTACAACAATTAAAACGAGCATTCATAAATATATATTCCAGACATGTGTCATATATCCTTAATGTGCTGCAGTGATAGACTTTACATAGAATGGAAACATGCATATGCTGTACGGACAGTCCGTATTGTAACCGCCCAAATCTTGGAATTCAAAATAAATCATGAAAGACTTTGAGAAACCTGGAGACATAATTACAAATGAGGAGGGGTTTTAAGCTACAGTGCAAGTTGGAGTCAGGCATGTCAAATATGTGGCGCTATGACCAAAAATGTGAATTACAGGCTCAGCAGAGTTGCTGCACACAGGTTACATTTCTCTGTAAAGAGTCATTCTGAGTGCCATAACAATATGCTGATTGCAGAGGTTACATTGACTATATTTCCCCCTGGTACCAGTCTACCTTGATGCAGCTATTAGGCTGGTTCTGGAATACCCCCAAAACAAATTTTACTTCTCTCTTTACTATTCAGGATCCATTGTGAAGAAAGCAGCTTGTGCATGATGGACATGACATACCTCCCAACAGGCCCGCTTTTGGAGGACAATCCCTAGTTTTGGTTTCATGCTGCCATCCCAAGTTTGAATGTGTTACAGCAGGGAACTGTTATTGGGCAGCACATCACAAGAGTGCTGTGCAGCATACGCTATTAACGAGCAGGGAGTGCTTCAGCTGAGCTATTTGTATGATGCTGCACAGCGATCAGGATGCTGTCTGTCAGCATGGTGTGCTTGCCGCCAAGCTCACTAGCCCCTTCAATGGGTAGACCTGCCCACTTTCCAGATATAGGCGTCACCAGTAATTCAAGTTGTGTCATTGTTGACATCCCCTGAAAGCCTGCCTATCCTTCTGATTCCATACCTTCCAATGCTGGCAGACTTGGACAGGATCACACCACACAAGAAGTCCTTTTATCTCAGCCACATTGATGTGCATGTGTGGTTGGTGGCTTTGGAGATCACTGAACAAATCCCCAGTAGCTGTGAAATGGGTTGTAGATAGGTTAGTAGCAGCCATGATATCGCTACCATCAACTTATTCTGTGGATTGTCTTTAGTGTAGTGATCAACATAACTCAGGGGTGTAATACTTATTTTATAAACCCCTGCATTAACTTTTATAAATTCATTATTTTTGCATATTTGTAATGCATTATCACTATAATGCACTTTAAACGGGGATCATTTCTTTGTCTTTAAGTACATTGGACCCTGATTTGACTGACCATGTCATTTTACTATGCCTGGTTTATGTAAGCTTCAAATTAATAATAAATGTTTTGAGAACACAAAGGCCTGTTGGTATCAGGTATTATTGAGCCATATGAGACTGATGATAAAGGGGAAAAACTTATAACTAAGCAACAGAGGTATTTTAATTGACTTTGCAAACCAGGTTTATCTTGTCTCCTTTGTGGGTGTTATTGGTATCTTTCCATGTAACTACAAACAGGCTTCAATGCATTTAAAACACTATAGGGCCAGGAACACAAACATGTATTCCTGATTCTATAGTGCTAAAAATACCAGCTAGCCTGATATCCCCGGCCCACCTAAATATAGGTGGCTTTGCCCTTGATCTGCCTGCTTGGCTGACATCATCAGAAGTGGTGATCTCAGCCATTCACAATGCTTTCCCTTAGGAAAGCTTTGGATTGGCTTAGCTTGTCAAGTAGGCAGATCAGGTGCAGAGTCAGCACTAGCCAAACGCAGCCCTGGCCAATCAGCATCTCCTCATCAATTTCAAGTTCAGTGTATCCATGCAGTGGGTGGAGACACTGAATGTCAGTGCTGCACAGTATGAGTGGCCAGTGGAGCTATCCCTTAGCTGTAATGTAAACACTTATTTTTATCTGAAAAATCAGTGTTTACTGCAAAAAGCCTGTAGGGACTGATTATACCCACCAGAACAAATACAATAAGCTATAGTTGTTCTGGTGATTTATAGTGTCCCTTTAAACACTTTCTCAATTAAGTGGTCTAGTTGCAGTATCCCTGTCCCCTTAACTCTGCAATCAGGGCCGGTGCTACCTGTTAGCCAGCCCCTCTCATGCTGCAGCCGCCTGAGCGCTCTGTAGAGAGCCTCAGGCGGCTGCAGCTTTGCCTGGGCTGGTGCGTCCATGAGGGCTCACCGCCCGGACGCAGCATGAGGAGAGGGGCTGACATGAGGAGCTATCACTCCTTCACTGTAGCGTGGCCGAGCCCTGTATGGGCATCTGTCTCCTGTACCCGGCCGGAGTAACAGGAAGTGCATACTGAGTGACCACAGTTACAAACCGCCTCCAGAGAGCCTGTTCTACACCAGACCAGTGGAGCCAGACTGCAGCTAGAGCCCATCATCATCCTCATCTGGTTGTAAGTAGGCAATCTAGTAAATTATTTGTGGCACTAATCTCTAATTTAACTCACATTAAAGAAACACTATATTCCCCAGAACCACTGTAACTTAATGTAGTGGTTCTGGTGTCTATAGCCTGTCCCTTTTTTTTTAAGAAACTGTAATTTTTACATTGCAGAGTTAACTCCTCCTCTAGTGGCTTTCATGCTGACAGCCACTAGAGGAGCTTCCTTGACACAGATCAAGTAAAACTCCACCACATTACGCAGAAGCCCAATTGGAAAGCATTAACTTAATGCTATGGGAAATTCTGAAGGCGCGCTCAGCGCTCAACACATGAGGAGCACTGGATTGGATCCTACTTAAGGAGGACCATTCCATGATGTTGGAGGGTGGAAAAGAGATCAGCAGCGGTGAGGAATAAGGTGAGCAAAACTTAACAGATTTTTATTTCTAACGATAGTGTTCCTTCAAGTCAATTAATACTTTTGTAGTGTCTTTGAACTTAATTTTATTCCAAAGTTAATAAAAGAAATATCCCCAAGGTGGGTAATAATGCCTATCACTCACAATAGGAGAGAAAATCTTACCAAAGTGAGATTTTTATTCTTTATTCACTAAATTGTTGGAAATTCAATATGAATTCACAGTGAATTTCAAAATAAGGACTGTTCCTCCTAAGTAGGGAGACCCCAGATCACTCCATATGTATTTTTATCCATTTATTATGGTAGTTTTGCAGCTTGTGGGATACATGTTCCCCCCATTAACAAAGCATTAGAACACCTTGTACATTTCGGATGGATTCTTTTAACTTTATTAGTCTCCAATTTATGTTAATATTCATAAAAAATACTCAAGTCTATTGTTGCAATTCATATTATTCCAGCATTTTTCATAGCTGTTCAGGTTTACCCCCATGTAACAAGAAAGTCACTGACCGGTTTCAGCAAATCTGCCTTTGTCAAGGTGTTTTGCAATTAATTCATGACAACTCTACATGTACTTGTTGGTTGTGCGAGTTTTCTCCTAGGACTCTACGACCTTACATACACCTTCTCAGGATAATAGTGTATATTCTACTGTAATGAAGACAAATGCAACAGGTTGGGAAAGAGAAACTGATGAATTGGACACGTTAGAAGAAGCTATTATATTTTGTGCAATTGTAAAAAATAATTTAAATAAAAACTAGTAATTCTACATCTAGAATTATTTATTCCGTTTTACAGTAGTTATAAAGGTACAAACGCCTGGAGTGCCCTTTTAAACTAATAAAAGTAGAATATCCATAATACAAGACATAATATACGCTCCTAGGTTCAAACAGTGGGTGACTATTGATAATAATGTGGAAAACCTAGATAATAAATACAGACTGAAAAAATAAAATTGTCAAAAAAGGCAAAAGTGGGGATCTCACCACTGGTGATTTTAACTAGATCACTTATATAATGAAAACCATATGACTTTCCTTTCATAAAAAAAAAAAAATGAACAAAAATCAAAACGCAACATAACTGAATCTGACGTAACATGTATGCTAACACAAAAGAGCACCGTCTGGGAGATGACAATCAAAAGAAAAACAAAAATCAACAAATGTGATTTTGTCTGAAATGTGGGCCATGGTCCACACATTAGTTAACCATTTACTACAGAAAATAACAGCACAGATGATGTCACCATCTGTGCAGCACAATATTCTAAAAAATAACCTGCCAAAAAAAAATCTAAATACAAATCTGAAGTCATACTTTGGGACATGGCTGCCTTGGGCAAAGTCCAACGTTGTACACTTCAACAGTGAAAAAATAAATAAATTTATACCTGGTGGCCAGTCACAAATTCAAAAATATCTACAAAAAAGCTGGCACTCCAAGGTGTTCATTCAGGTAGGTTCTTTATTTGACGATTTTCAGCAAATCAACGTTTCAGTCCCTCTAGGGACGATCATGTCCTCATGAAAGTTCCCTAGAGGGACTGAAATGTTGACTTGCTGGAATTTGTCAACTAAAGAACCTACCTGAATGAAAACCTTGGAGTGTGTGTGTGTGTGTGCGTGCGTGTTTGTATATACAGTTGTAATCAAAATTATTGATCCCCCTTTGAAAATCAGGTTTATTGTCAAAATGTACAGACGTTCAGCTGTTGGCAGTGAACAAATCAAACAAAAGGAATTTAAATAGTTCAACACAACAAATGCTTCAAGTGGTTCCCCAAAGTCAATTAAAAATGCAACCTATAATGACTTATCCGGTCTCAAAAATATTCAACCCCCTTAAAAGAATCCCTCTTATATCCCACATATATTCAAAACAGGTACAAAGATACAACGATTGCCCACATGTTGCTTATTGCAAATTTCAATGCACTACAATGATATACAAGATGTCTGTTAATGGGGACTGTAATGTGTGATGGAGTTTGTCATCTGTGTCAAGGTTTAAACTATAAAGCTCTATCATACTATCCAGACCTTTGTCACTGGATCATAGGGACCAATCCCCAATTCTTATGTAATATTTACTTAAAACGAAAGCAGCAAAAGATCTTTATTAGACAATTCTCAGTATTATAGAGGTTTATTGCACTGGGGATTGTGGCATTGCTACAGTCACTCACTGATATAGGTAACCTGAGACCTGGATGATAGGATGTTTGTTAAAAATAATATGAGCCATTGATAATAGCTTTGGAACCCTATTTTGGTAGCCAAGAACCACTGATTTAACTTGTAATAGGGAGCTTGCCCCATGTAGGTTGAACTTATGTGGAAATATTATATTTCGCCATTGCCTGCCCTGCAGCACATTATGTTTCTCTGCATTACATTGTGATTTCAATCAAAGATTTTTGCTTCTGCCTTATTATCTGGAAAGACAGAATCCAGTTATTTCCTTGTTGAGAGGGATGAATATCAATAAAAAGAAATTGAACTGGAGAAGATTGTGTGGAACAGCCAGAAAGACAATTGAAACAAGATAAAAGGTTCTGAAGCCTAATGCAGAGAGCCGTTCATATCAGACAAATAAAATGGGCTTCAAAGAGAAGAATGGGGACAGTAAGTGGATTATAGAACTGAAAACAGAGAAATGTGAAGGTAGAAAATTAAAAGGAACACATAGTGGTTAACATTAAGGTCATTACTTAAAATGTGGAACTCATCTGATCTGCTTTTGTTATTTAAGAAAGAAATTTGCAGTATCAACGGAGTCCGGTTAATGCTCACAAATCCAGTAGTTTTTCTCAGTGTCATATTAGCTACACTACTGATTAACTCTGAAAGCTACCCCACTTTTTGGAAGTTGCCCAAGTACTAGGGAAAAAGTCAAATTATTTGAGTTTTAATACATGAATCTGGACATATAGTTGTTCCTAATATCTGAAAAACATGGTTCAGACACATTGACTGGCTGTGTCATCACTTGTCTCTGGTACTTTTGGAAGATCTTGATTGTACCCTTGTGCTGTAAGTGTGGGATACACTCACATCTCTTTAGAGAGAAACACAACCAACCAATTAGCCCAACTGTAAATGTACAAATCATTCACTTCTATAATTAATTAAATACAATTTTATTTGTGAGTATATATACTAGGCCTTTGAAAGGGCTAGGCTAAGGTCTGTATAACTATCTCTAAGCTGAGATATGACATATACTAGATATGTCAGCAAGCATATGTTTCCACCAAAAGCTCAGATTCATGAAGGCTTTATTCCACTGTTTTGTTAACTTTACATGATATGTGACTGACACTTTTATTAGACATGACATAGGCTTTACCAGCTGACATATTCTTTTTTAAAAGAAACTTGCTTTTCCAGTTATATTCATTCCTTACTTTGTGGTGGCAAAATATGCATATAATGTAACATAACTACTGCTGCAAAAGTGATCGCTATCATGCTGTGTCACATTCTAATTGTGTTAGTTTATTTTAGATTATACCAATGTAAAATACATGTTTTGTACAAGGGAAAACACTACAAGTTTTTTTCAAATTTATTTTTCCGTGTTTTTTGAAGTATGTTCTATTAAGGTTAAATAAATACATGATATATGGTTAGACCCTTGAATATGAGGTGTAATTTTTGGTAACGATTTCAAAGAATGATATAATGAATCTGGGAAAATTTAAGAAAAATACAAGTTAATAAGGGGAATGGAAGATCTTCGTTATGAAATAAGGCATTACAAGGTCCACTTGTTTACTTTAGAAAATGGGGATATAATAATATTCATATTTACAGAGGGTGAATACAAAAAGTTCTTTGCCAACCATTAAGAGGACTGTAAACATTTTTATGTTTTTCCATTTTTACAGCACAAGTGGAAAACATTTCAAATTGTTGTTTTCTTGTTGTTTTTTTTGCTTTCTTTTTAATCAGCAGTGAGAACAGATGTGCAAAAGGTTGAACTTGATGTACTTGAGAATTCTTTGCGTAAATATTTTATTAGAACAAAGAGTTGAGCATAGAACACAATTAACAGTTTGTGAGCCAGTAAAGGGGAATAGAGTGTTCGCAATATGAATCATGGACCACAGACTGTACCTGATGTTTTTTTAAATAAATTTACAAAACAAAAAAAGTGGCAATATAATATTAGGTACAAATCTGAACATCGGGCACTGCATGATAAATATTTTAAGAGAGAGAAAATATACGCAATAAAAAGTCTTGCTATTTTGATAAAATATGCTCATGTGAAAGAATTCTGAATCATGCACACCTTTTACAGAAATGGTAAAAGGTGTGTTTGCAGATAGACCACTCTTCACTACGTTAGTGGTCCATGCAGAGTGGTCTAACAAGAGGAGAAAGCTCTGCCTCTAGTGGCACTGACTTTTTCCACTGCCTTTTCCATGGCACTATGGAATATTCTGTTGAAGACTAAGTAAGGCATTTTAAAGAATGAGAAATTGAAAATGTTTGCAACTCACGCAAGTACCTTCATTATCTTCAAGCTATACAATGGGGGCCAGAGGTTGGTAAACAGTTCATCCCCTACTACTATGTCATTCCCATGATCAATTAAGATCCATATATTTGTGAGGTGAAGTTGTGAGTTTTTATAGGAATGAATTAAAGGTATAGTTAATTTTGTCCAATTTTATCTTAATGCTGCAAGCCCTAGAGAGCAGATTGTATGCTGTGCAGATAATTAAATGTCCGTTTTAATTTAGACTAATTTATGATGGCATGCTTTCACTGGTGTTATCAATAATATCTCAGTCAGAAAGGATGCTTACATATATTGTGAAATGTCTAGTGACAACATGACCTGGCCTCTAAATTCTGTATAATATCAGGGAATGGTCTGTTTAAACAACATCAAGTGCAAGGAATTTGGAAGCAGAATTTAATTGTGACCTTACACTATTATCATTACTGGCATTTATAAAGCAACAACACACTCTGTAGTGCTGTACAATTGATTGTGGAAAAAGACAGTACAGTATAACAGTGTTAATTTTGTCGACCAAAAATTTTAGTCAGATTTTAGTCGACTAAAATTTTTGAGATTTAGTCGACTAACACTATACTAAAACTAAAACAATTCAGAAGACTAAAATATGACTAAAACTAAAATGGCTTTTTAGTCAAAAGACTATGACTAATACTAAATTGAAATTAACACGGCAATATAAACATACCAATACAAAATGTAAATAGCTGAGATCTAGCCACTAAAGCTCTTTTATACAAAGTACTTAGCCAAATAGCCAGTGAGCTTACAATCTAAATGAGGTGATTGTTAGAGAGCATTTAAAAGGATAATTGCAGCTACTGGTAATGTACTGGTATGTAAAGTGAATAAAGGAGGTAATTGAGAGTTATGTCAAACAGCTGGAAAAAAACAACATGCTAGAGAGCATGGGTGCCCAAAAGGTAGAACCTCATATGTGTCAAAACTACAGCTTCCATGGTGCGTTATCATTGTAAAGGCCAAGGGAGTTGTAGTTCTACAACATCCAGGGATCTACCTTTTGGGCCCCCTGCTATAGAGTTGGAGGGAACCGGTGAACCCTTCACATGTTTATTATTTACAATGTAAGAGAAGTTTTGAATAAATATGAAATAGTTTAGGCATCTGGACATAAAGTTGAGACTGAGGTTCAGTGCACTAGGCAAGAGAATTATCAAGTTACAACTATACATAACAACTGAATGACATTTACAGGGTGCATAGGGAGTGCTTAGAAATGAACTTTGTTTTCTCTTAGCTGGTTTGTGGAATGAGGCCTAAGGAATGGAGGTAGATACAGTGATTTGAAGGAATTTACTGCTAGGAGGGGATAGAACAAAAATAGTTTGCATACAATTGAGATATTTGTCAACCAAATTCAATCAGCCAAATTATCAATAACTATATATAAATACTTAGTAGATTGATGAAATACATTCACTGAAAATGAAAAATGGCAAGTATGGAATATCACAGTAGTAAATTACAGGTATAATAGGTAACTTTGTTATAGTAAACAAATAATAATATGGTAACAAAGGTAGAATAAATCAGGTGGATTATTATACAAACGCTAGTCAGTACCTGAAAGTTACAGGGAGAGTTGGAAATGAAGTGGCTTTGTTGAAAAGTGGACACTGCTGTAAGTTAATATTATCAGGAGGTATATGATTTGCCAGTGATTTGGACAGTTTCACCAAAACAAACCTTTTCAGATTTCTACATTATTTGATGGACCTCCAAAGCTTGCAATCTAATTTTGATCTTTTTGAAACACATTGATTAAGGGAGTAATCCAAAGTTAGGTGGGCTAAACTAGAATCAGGAGACCTCGTTTAGCTTCCATACGGAACCAACACATCATCTAGGGAAATTAATATGAAATCGTTAAAGTAATATGACCTGAAACTAGATTTCGCACAGATAAATGTGTACGGTCACATTGATTGCAAATAGATGTGGTATAATGTTGGAGAGTGTGGAAGAACTCTTTAGGGCCTCCATTTGCATATGTTCTATAGAAGAGCAGCAGGCAAATCTTTGGGGCGTATCTTTGGGGTAATAAACAGTGTGG